TTGAGAATAAATTTAGCTTGCATTTGAAACGAACATATTAGTCACATTAAGACGTTTTATAAATATAGAAGAACACGATTCAGTCGAAAGTTCCTTTTTTGATGAGTAATGTTCTATATCTGATGGGCTGAATTCTCTTCCTTTGATATGTTAAATATACTAAATCTTTTGAATATTTAGTTATACGTAAGAATTTCAGTTTGTGTATTTTACTTCACACATTTGCAACGAGTTCTAAGCAACGATGTTGAAGTAACACTTGTTTATTTTACGGTTATAAAATTTGTAGTTGTAACTATGTATATATATAATATGTAGCATACATATGTATACGTAATTTATTTAACCGATATTTCAGGTAACTGACAGCTGCAATAACTAAAGATTATTTATTATTACCTCCTTTTATGTATCCATTACTATGAAATATCCTAATTGCACATACATATATACGAGTACATTATATATTTTAATTAGAATTGTCGTATGAGTTATTAGTTACGTCACGAAATCGAATGTCATTTTTAGCATCGCGAGAAAATAGAACGAGGGTTATATTCGAGGGTCAAATTCTAAAACGTCGAACAAAATGAGTTGTATAATGCAAAAGCGTTATTAATTATCTATAAAATGTTAATTGTATGTAGTGTGGAATATCGATAAAATATACTATCGTTACGTACATAGAAACATATTCTTGGAAAGAATTTCATTCGTTATTTATTTAATAAATATTTGACCTTATGTGATTATCAAATCAGGGAGCTTAGTGCAAGTCAAATGATCTATTATCGATTTAGCTGGTGTTACTTTGCTAGCTTGCATCATGGCAGGAACAATTGAAAATATTTACGAGCTTTGAAGACTCGACTTGACTTTAAGAGCAATGCTTGTCTTAAAAGAGGGTTATCGACGTGTTCCGATTGGAGTTTCAAACGAGATTGACCTTTTGCGGAGGAGGTGAATATCGATAGCGTTACGATACATATGATTAATTCGGATGCCGAAAATTAATTATCATCAATTACTATCGACAACGCTAAAGAAGAAAAGATTTGTTGTATATACAACAAGGTTTGTAACAGAGATGTTAGACTAATCGTAAATAATCGGGAAAATTCATATGATTTTTCTATACGAGTTTAGGCTCGGGACAAGTTACTGAAGACATAAATTTAGCATTTGGAGAAGGATTATGTAACTGTTAGGACAGTTTAACGTTGCTTCGTGAAATTCAAGGCTAGTGATTTTTCATTTGAAAACGTGTCGAGGAACAATTATGTTTAAATGAAAATAAATTGTTCTGTCATTATTTATTACTTTGTTCAAAGAAGAAAAGTAAAGAAAACATATTACCATTTGTTGCGTGACAATCAGTAACGTTCAACAACAAAACAATGGCTTCATGAAAATGTCTTCATCGTATCGTCCAAAGAAAATAATACTCACTATTTACTGAATTTGTTCATTACTATTTCCTACATAAAATAATCTAGAACCACAATTGTGATATTAATATTTTGAAAAAAAAATCCTTGTTGTTGGACAAAATGTTGCACGATAATATTCATACAATAGTTCATTGATCCTCTGTAGTATCTATGACTTTTTGTTCGCATAAACAGTAGCAGGAATTCAGATAAGTAGATTCAATCGGCAGAAGTTTATGTAGTCAGACATATACTAGTGGAGCTCCATTTATTAGAACGAAACTTTAGTTAACGCTTGATTAAATAAACTTCTATCTATTAAATCCACTCTGAATCCAATCTGAAGGCGAATTTCCATTATGTGAACGGAGAATTATAAATTGCCAGGAAAATCAGTGAATTTTTACATTACACTGATTGAGTGAACTCCAACCCATCATAATCTATTACGTGAAAGTGAATGCCTATTCTACGAATGAAAAATCAAGTGAACAGTTGCTTCTATTATATGAATTGTTTATTTCTCGATTTATCCAGTTTCAGACGAATAAAGTTGTCCCGTATAGTCCTGTATAGTTAGTTAAATAAACGAAGAACATACAAATGAAATTCTACTACATTGTCGATACGTGTATGAATATGAACGATAAGCAGGATCCTTAAATTTACAACTATAATACGAAATTACACGTAAGATCGTAAAGTTAGTGAAATGATTGTACTTTGGCTTTCATGGCCTTCCATTCCCTTCCGTGGTTGGCAAACGAATATGAGAAACGTCCGTGCATGGTCTTCATATTTGGGTGACCTAGATTTTCGTAGCGCAGCTGCATACACTCAGATGGTGCATCGACAGAATGACCTTACATGCTCTTCTGCACTCCTACAGCTCTAGAGTAGATACGTATGTACATGAATATATGTATGTGCACGGTCTTCTGCAAATTTCAACGAGACAGGTACACGCGAAATATCCGACTGACAAAATTAAATTTGTGGTTCTATAGAGCTTATTATAAAATCGATTTAGTTTTTGACGCGTTTCAACAGGCTGAGTTCCAGAAGCAGTCGAAGGAACATTTTTCATTTGGTCATTTGGTAATCAAAAATTCAACAGCTTCACGTATAATACATATCGATCGTTTATTTATGATTAAGCACTACGTTTAGCTGAATATGTTTTACAGTGAAGAGCCATAACTGAATCAATAACCATAGCTTCACACGAGTCATTTCTTGTTGTGAATCAATTATGGAAATTAAACCTACTGTACCTTTTTCGGGTAACTTCTTTTTGTTCATAATAAGAAATATTTATTGATCAGGTTTTGTAATAAAAGCTACAATAAAACAAAATTATAATACGAAAATAATAAAAAATAATAGAAACCAAAATATTGTCTCCGGCAATAAAACTTTTTAGTTTTAATAATTTTCTACTGCTTAATCCAAAAGCTCCAGAATCGCTTTGCGTAAGAATTCGACAATAATTAGAATGAATTTCGACTCATTACTCTCTGGTACTCTTAAGCAATTCAAGGATCGATCGATGAAGCCATCTCGTATTTTGCTATTTATTTTACTTTATCATATATTTACTAATCTTGTGATTGGTGATTGTTTTCTAAATGTTGAAAATTGCTTCACCAATTTCCTGGTAGTGAAAATATTATTTGGATGGCTGCAAATGGCAAGTTTTGCTTTATTAGATGATGAAAGGTTGATGCGAAATGGTTAAAGGCCAGATCCGGCAAATTCATTTCGATAATATATCAGTGACGATTAAGAGTCATGTGGCGAAATTTTTTGGTATCTGACGAGTTGCTGTCTGGCACGGAGCCAAGCAAAATCGATCGGCGGTTAAAGTACATAAGCCTTCTGCTTCTTTATTTATTCACGCTACTTGCGCTATACGCTTCAACGAGAAGTCTCATAGTACGGAAGTTGCACATATCTGTGTATATGTTGCTACATGATATACGTGTATGCGAATGTTTGGCGCATCGATGACTCCGCCATCCAATGTATGTATATTTGCTTTCCATATTTTCTTGCGAGTAAACTAGGCGGAAGAAAATAATGGAATAATAGAAAAGATCCTCGTTTTCACAGTTGTTTGGCCATAGTCAGAGTTTGTTCGACGTAAAACTTCTATTCGTGTCTTTTCGTGACTACATTGCATTAGTCGGGAAGCATTACTTTGAGATATTTGTATTCTTTGGCAATGTTTAAAATAACAGTTATAACTGGCATTGTTCGAGATAATTGCTGCGGAAGTTCGTTTTGAGTTACAATCATAATCATATATTGTACCAACTGCTAAGATAGATATCAGTATATATTCTTATTTTCAAAAGTGTTTTATTATTAGTAGATTGCGGATTTTTATGCATTTCTGAAATTTTAAGGCCAAAAAATACACAAAATTCACATAATATTTAAAAATATATGAAATATACAAGGTGTAGTATTTGTTATAATTAGGCTCCGGATATTTATGCATTTGTAGGAAATTTAAGATTCCAAAAAACTATGGAGTGCATATAATATGTACAAAAAATATATACAATGTTTGAAGTAGAGTATCGTTTCTTTAATTATGTTCATAAAAATATAAGGTTGCATAAACGTCCGTAGTCTAGTTAAATTATTTAGTAGGTAAAACAAATTTCTGTCTAGGTTCCATTATATAGTCATAAAAATATGAATTTACATAAATATTCGCATTCTGACTTTCAGGTTCTACATACTTTATTTTCATAGTACCAGACTTTTGTATTATCAAATTTCGTATATTATTAAACAATAGGAAGTTTAATATACAAAACTTGTACTTTTTTAGTAATTTTTTAGTAAATGCTTTTAAAAAATATTTTTTTAGCCATTGCAAGTAATTTAGATCGTAATCGAAATAAAAATCAGAGAAAGTTGTTGTATAAAAATATACAATATTACAAAGTTCGCTCACGTATTATAGTTTTACTGTAATAACAAATAATAAATACCAGTTGTTATATTTAATAGATTTTTTGCCTGCGTGTAGTAAGCAAAGACAATCGTGAAGTGAAACTGACGCTTGGAACGGTCGTGCATTTCGAAAAGTGCTAACAAAGAGGTTGAAGTACAGCCATGTGTCTACTTGTCGGCGCTAGTCAACGTTCGTAGACGAGGGAACTTCAAGTACCACTTTAATCGCATTTAGATGTTGAAACTTCTTATTACCAGTGTTAAAATAACACAAATCTTTCAAACTAAAAATTACAATGTTATGAAATACACATACAAATTTGCTTAAAATAGGTAGTACATTAAAAAAAAAATGTAAAATAATCTGATATGAAAACATGAATAGGAGATGGGAAGAAACAATTTGTATAATTAAAAATGTAGAATTATTGCCTTTATGTCTTGTACGTCAGTACAATTATTTATGTTAAAGAATATTATAAATATTTGAAATTCATTCCCTTACTTGAGATTTAAGTTTCCTATAGTTCATGATTTTCTGTAATGTTTTTTTAATTTAATGGCAGTAAGTGGTTTAACGTTGCATTATATTTTGTGTTCCAGGTGGTGTTAGTTTTCATTCTCAGTATAGCATCGCTTATAATATACTTCATCGATGCCTCCAGGTAAGGAAACCAATTATTTTTCAATTAAAAATATTACATCAAACATTGCGGTATATTCCTGTTTAAATAAATATCATTTTAATCCTATATAATAATTCCAGTATAATTAAAACGAAGTCTAATTTTCGTTATCTGTTCGTATACTAAAATAAGATTGTACAATTATGTTTGTATAAATCTGTTCATACAAAAGAATTCTACCCAGCAATCTAAATACACACAGGAGAACACACGACGGAACAATATTTCTCATCGCTGATTATGTTATTAGTGTTTGTTTGTTTGTTTGCTCACGGCGGTCAGATAAATCGGCAAAACAAATATTAACGTAATTCCCTAACATCGATATGACAATTTTATGTTACAGCGAAGAGGTGGAACGTTGCCAAAAGTGGAGCAACAACATTACTCAGCAGATAGACTTAGCTTTCAATATATTTTTTATGGTCTACTTTTTTATACGCGTAAGTGTAAACATAACAATTTTCTCGAACATAAATATTGGTATAAATTTTCAAAATTTTCTTTCATGCTCACTGTTGATAGAGATGTGATACAATATTGTTTGAGACTTCAAAGAAAGGGATAACATTGAACATTTATTTCGTGATAGTTTATCGCCGCCAGTGATAAGCTGTGGTTCATGCTGGAGATGTATTCGTTCGTGGACTACTTTACGATACCACCGTCCTTCGTGTCGATATATCTCGATCGGACGTGGATCGGACTGAGGTTCCTCCGAGCCCTACGACTGATGACGGTCCCTGACATCCTCCAGTACCTAAACATTCTAAAGACATCGAGTTCCATTCGTCTCGCCCAACTTGTATCGATCTTCATCTCCGTCTGGTTAACAGCTGCTGGCATCATTCATTTGGTAAGATGTTATTCGTTATTTCATCAACTCTAACCTTCCCTTTCTTGTTTTTCATTCCTCTCGTTCATGTCATTTTTTCACATGTGAATACTTAAGTAGTTAGTTACTGGTCGTCTTCGACCAGTAATTTTAAACAATCTTTCACTTTTCTCATATTCTTGTCTAAATCCTGCTTTGCTTAAAAAAGTTAAGGTAACATATTCAGCAATAAAAAATTATTGGATGATATTCTAGAAACCTGGAAAAGAATATTGAAGAATTTTTCGAGGATTTTTAAAACAAGAGCCTAAGAAAATTGCCGAAGGAGGGTCAAAAGTAATTAGAAATTTTATTGCAAAGTATAATAGAATTACAAATACAATTCTTTTTACTTCATTGACGTTGTTATAACGATATCGACAATGTGAACATTGTTCTATATAAATAAATTTACAAATATCTGCAATTTCTTTATAGAAAAAAATCGTTAGCTTCAATTAGAGAAAATTAATATTCAATTTGGTTTTTAATTTGCGATATGCTTTGTGGCGAGTTCAATTAAAATATTTTTGGGAGAATTTGATTTAAAATAGGTCTATGAAGTTTTCTAGTTACTATCACTGTTGTATATTGTTCAGTTTAAAGGACACAAAGAAGTATATATAGAATAACTATTATGATTCTACGGAGAATTTTTTTTTAATAAATTTGACAAATCACTGGGAGTCATTGTATCTAGAAGTATCTAAAGCAGTATTTTAGATGTTGAATTATAAGTATAGAAACATTGTTTGCCGGCAGCTTGAAAACTCAGGGGACCCGTTCGAGTTCACGAACCCTCAACAGCTTTCGTACTGGACTTGTGTCTACTTTCTCATCGTGACGATGTCCACGGTAGGATATGGCGACGTTTACTGCCAGACGGTCCTCGGCCGCACATTCCTAGTATTTTTTCTACTCGTCGGTTTGGTAAGCCTTCTTTATATTATCTTTATACAGCCAAAATATTATGTTTAATATGTTACATGAAATAAATGACTCTCTATAGTTCAGTGTAGAAGAATCTCGCACGAAAAATCGAATTGCCTGAACATCGCAAATAAACTTTCTTAGTTCTTCAAATATCGTCTACTACGTCCTTGTATTTCACAAGATTCATTATCAAATTCAAACAGACAATTTGGTTTTTCCCGAGAAGTATTCGCAGTACGAGCTCTGTGAAACACGTGACCGTCATTTTTCATCTATAACTTATGTGCAGATGTATTTTTCTTTGCATTATCGTGAGATTATCAAAAAGATAATCTCAATAACCGAGTATCATTGTCTTCGCAGTAATTTTACAGCGATACTCGCAATATTATTTCATTGTACATCAATAGTATTTTTATGATTATTAAAAGAACGATTGTTCTTTGATATTAACACGAGGAATTAGATCGAATATGTAAGTGTTTCGCAGAATTCGTGTCGTTAGAGTAGAACCTTGATCTCGCCATGAATTGGCAGATCAGATTTTCGTAACATTTACACATTTATTATCCTTGAGACACACAAAAACGGTGAATATTTCGACTGTGTACAATGTTCTCTGGTCAGCTCGATTTCTCGCGAAATGAATCAAAGATACTGCTTTACCCATTCGATGATGAGACATTCGTTTTCTTTCATATTTATAATGCGAATTTCTCTTTAATATTTCGCTTCTCTTATTTCTTAAAATATCAGAATTGCTATCTGAAAGAAATCCCCTTCTTTTGAAAAAAGGAAGTGATCAATTACTCTGTGCTCGCTGTCTGCGTTATAGTAAAGCTATAAATGTAAAATTATCTATATCTCTGTAATTACAACGTATATTAAATCCGTAGATGTTTTATAAGATTTCTACGAAAAGTTGCGAGTTGCTGAATTTTTACGAACTTCTATGATACTCCTTTTTTTATTAAATTATCACTCTCTGTAATTCTAGTTGAGTGATTGAACGTGAGCATAATTCAGATCCGTTTATCGTCCTCCTTAAAGGATGATCAGAAGGCAATTTTATTATATTTTCTAATATTTACGGGATTGTTGTTCACTTTCTTCAATATTTCTCTAACTAGATGACCATCGTATTCATCGCTATGAATAAATAACCAATTTTCCAAAACTAGCTAACAACCATGCAGAATTTAATTAGCACGTTCAATTTCGAATCCAGAGAGACTAACATAACGCGAAAAGAAATTCCCAAAGACACATCTCAGCAAATACAAAGCGTGCATATTTTTTTTTCATTTGTTGAATAATTTTTACTAGGAGAAATTCGCATTTTATCGTGAAATAGCACGAGGCAAAATGGTAAAATGGAGGCATAGGCGCATAGATTTTCTATATAGTTAAGGAACCATCGGAGAACAGTGTCACTCGTCGCGAAATCGATTGCTTCGTTTGAACGACGATGCGCAGTGTCTGCGAGAAGTGTGACTGGTCGCGAGTGTGCGTGCGTACCTGAGCGTGTGTGATCGATCGTAACAAATCACGTATTAATTTCGGTAGTCGATAGAGGAATAACGATACGAATTTATATTTTCATGGTTCGTTGAAACATATCTATATGTTATAATATATCTAGAAGAAGCCTGAGCATCGCCGTTTAAACGCGGGTATGCTAGCGTAACGTTTGTCTACAAATGTCATTTAGAATACGAGAGATCAGTTAACAGCATAGTAGACACTGTAAATTATCGAAACAAAGTAGGAGGATTGTTCTTTTCTTCGAAATCTAGGACCTCCGACAAACCTTACGCCAATCACGGTAGCCGTGTTTCTCGATCAGACGAGGAATAGACTCGTTTCTGTGAAAGATGAAGAATCACGATGCGTAATTAAACTACTGTTCAGTTCCAAAAATTAATGCACTTGATTCCTAGTAATAATAAGAATAGACAACAATCTTAAATAGATCGATTATGCACGATTACAGTTCTTCAAATAAAATTGACTGGGAGAGTAAAATAAACATTTTCATCGAATTTTAGTATATTTCAATGTACTACTGTTGTCTGAATAGCTTCAGAATATAATTTTATAGTGATAATTTAGTTTTAATTACTTAAACAAGGGAATTGTAACTCGAATAATTTAAACGAGTTATGTCACAATTAATAAAATACAAATAATATTAAACAATATAATTTGAATAACGAGGAGCATTTATTTTAATATTTTAATTAATCTCAGTTAATTTAATTCAAGTTAAATGTAATAACGAAATTACTGCTAATAAGGCAGGTAAATTCACATTTTCTCTATTTTAACGGTTGCCTCTGCTCGCGCATATCGATCGTACAGAACGAGTCGATTCTTCGTCAGGCATCGAGACCCGGAACGTAAGAATTTCAACCGAAATCACAGGGCAGCTTCACACTTTCTCTATCTATCTATCTCTCTCTCTCTCTCTTTTTATACCGATTTGAATCGTACCTATTTAAATTGAGCCCCCACACCACGAGTCGCATATATAAACAATTTTATATATGCCATTGAGAAAAGGATATATCTCATTCATTAAAAGAAAAAGAAAACAAAAAAGAAAAACAGAAAGTAATAAAAAGGAAAAGAAAACAAAACGAAACGCAGCTTGCTGTAGCTCGGTCCAATCCTACGCCGGCTTGGACCATTTTATATTTCTCGTAACAACGAGAGAAAAGCAATTGAAAATAAGGAAAGGAACAAAAAAAGAATACGTGAAAAAAACGGGAATAAACGAATGGATAAACAAAGAACGAGTAACGAGTAAGAGCTCGAAAGTTTTCTATAGCGATACTGGCTACCTGTGCCTTATGCCTATACCTCTATATGTGGCCGTAGTCGGGACCGTCTTGATATTTCGTATAATATTAATTACATAACCCTCATTCCCCTACTTTTTACCAAAAGATGATTCCTATATTATTTTTACTATTGTTTTGTTATTTTTATTACAAGTCGTGCGAGATAAGTGCACTTTGGATGCAACTGTACATTTAGCTCTTGAATTTTCATAATCGTGTAAATCTTTGATTGACTTTATAACAAGCAAATTCGTGATTTATAGATTCTTAGGCATTTCAGTAACTATGTCAATTTGTAATTACTGTGGATGTTTATACAAATTCATATTTTTACGAATGCAATTATTAGGAGAGGAAGCTATTGAGAATTATTTTATTTATTAAACATTATGTGGAATAATATATTTTGGATATTTTACGTATTTCTGAGCGCATCCTGTACATTTTTGTATTTTTACATTTCCCATAAATGCAGAAATATCGGCAATCTACTAATAAGGATAAATAACGAATAAATACGAGGAAGATTAATGTAAAAGTAAGCGAAATAATTAGCCATTTTTTTATTTATGTTTAAAGATGCAAAACTATACGGAATATATTACGTACAATTATTACTTTGTACAATTATACTACATAGAAATATTTAAAACATCCAAAATAGAATATTTCACAATTCACGATATTTCATAAGTAAAATATATTTCTCCTCAAATTCTATTTCTTAATTCATCATCGTAAAAATGTAGATCTGCATAAACATTGACAATCTAATAATAAAAAAATATCGAAGAACTGTGAAACGGTTCGAACCAGTGCGGCGTTTCAACACACAGACGTACGTTCTCAACGAAAATGTTCGCCTTGGCTCGAAACTGTCCCTCAATTACGAGTTTCACGTCCTTTTTGTCATATCTGCGTGAATTATAATTCGCCAACTGGATTGAAGGCAACAATAGCGTAATTACGAGGGAATATGTGATACTTTGAGAATAATAGACGAAACGTTGATGACGGTGCCCGACGGCGACCTTCTATCGTTCTCGTAGCTACACGCCTCACTCTGTCGTACGAAAATTGAAAAGGTTTGTAGCGCGGATCGCCGCGGCATCTCGCGCTTCGAGCTCTCTCGGGGTAAAGTGGTCGGAGGAGAAAATTTCTCTGCTTATGCAGCTGTTTCAAACGTTTTTTTTCTGTTATCTCTATACGCTGTCTTCCCGACCGTAAAGGCTTTCTAAGTAATCTATTATGTCGTATAGCGGTTTATATGTTTGGCTTTCGATTACACCAGGTCATTCTTAAGAACGCTGGAAGATGGGGTATTATTCTGTTTAAATTTTGCAAGTCGAGGTCATCAGAAGTATATGGAATTGAAAAAAATTGAACGAGTAAAGAGTAATTTGTTATCTTTACGATCTAACACTTGTATTATATCCAAATTTGTGATGAAATGTTCTTGACAATATCGACGAACAAAGAACATTTGTATTTTTCTTGACATAACTCATGATGTTTTTTGAAACGCAAAGTAAATAAATATATATGGATCATGTATGTATGTCTCGTTTTAATACATTTACGAATAAAACGACAAAATTATGACAACTCGCGAAACGTGATGCTTCGATATGTTAATGAGCATATGGTAAATGAGCTTTTTGTTCTGCGATTGTTCGACAGTAAACAGTAGTCGTTGCAGTTTCGAAAGAGAGAGAGACGACATATACAGGGAATTTTGGGATGAATTTGGCATTGGACAAAGAGAAATTAGCTATCGCTACGGTAATGTGTTATTGTTTGTGTAAGTTAGGATATCCATTATGGAACTAGTGGAATAACACGAAATACGTAATTTCAGCCGAAAAATATGAGATCATTCATATGAAGCTTTAGATGTTGAATGAGTTAGAAGCAAAGATATCGCTACAAACTTTATCATAATTTATGTTTGTCACATTAGATAAAAAAATGAACATTAAAAAAGAACTGTCTTTTTCGGTTTCAAAATTTAATTGTTATTCAAAATGGTTAATCGTAATAATTATCAAAAACGATTTCCATCTTTCTATCTAGAATTACAATTACAATTCTATAAGTACTTTTATCGTGTATCTCTAGAACGTTAATTTGTATCATTGAAAAGATTAAAATATT